ACGGAAACGCTACGGCGGAGCAAATTCAACTTTTCCACTCTGGAGGGTGGTATCAGATTTTTTGGCATTTTTAAGCCCCAAAAACGCCATCACCGTCTAAACGAAATGCACTTCCGATAAAATATTTAGTCCTTTTTACCCACAAGCGTTCTCGAGTGAACAGGCCCTTAAAGAAAATTTATGTAGTCTGTGCTCTTACTGTTTCAAAAAAGTTACTATAGTCGGTTTTGTTTTTTCCCCAGTATATGGACAGTATGTGCCTCATGTGAAAGCTCAAAACCTCCTGAATTCACTCACTGAGCTGCAGAGGCTGGGGTTTAGATAATGACCATTCATATCAGAAAACTTTTAAGTTCAAACCAACTGAATTTCAGCACTGAAACTAGCAACCCAAATGAGAGACTGTGACTGAATAATGACCTTGAGATCCAAAATGCAAAATTAAAACATACATAAATGTGACATGACGCACAATGTTTTGGTAGTTAAGACTAAATCAGCATTAGAACTATTAATACTAAAAGCATGACTTGATTTGAACGTGTCTGCTTTGTATTTCGAGACACAGATACAGTAAGTTTATGAAATTTTAAATCAATCTTACAGCTCCTTAAAACTACAGACGCAAGTACAGGTTTAATTCCTCTTTCTCTTATGGAAAACAGAGTCATTGGGTTGGTTCTGTGGTATGGTACGGTATGGAGCGAGCCGGTGTGTGTAATCCCAGGTGCGCGCGGGCCCACTTGTGACTGGATAATGAGGAAAAGGCCAAGCGATGCGCTGTCTAAACTGGCCTTCTCTTCACTTGTGCTAATTAGCGCTGTGGAATCAATCAACACGAGCTCGTTTGGACAGACAGCCGGACGTCTGGAGCTGGGGTGAGATGTGGGAGAGAAGGGAGAGAAGGGCGAGAGAGGGTGGCGGGCTCGGGGGTCTGGCAGGGTTACACGGAGGAGAGTTGCATCACGTCATTGGAATTCTATGTCCAGAGACGGTCCGTGTTTACGCTATGGACAGCTGTATTTTAGCTCATTTCGAGTTTTAGCATTAGTCAAATTGAGCTTGACGTTTGACATTTTTTAACAGCGACGCTTTATTCAGTTTTGAAAAGTTACCAGAATCTTACTTTTTCCTTTTTTTTAAATTCTCAAACCTCTGCAATTCATTCAAATAAGTCTGGATAAATGTGTCATGGATTTAAAGTAACACAAGATAAACTTCCTAGTATTTCAACTTAATTATGTCACAAGGTGGAACCAAGTGTTTGTGAGCTTTGGAGACAGAGATGATCCAACTTTCCAAAAAAACAAAAAAAAAAAAAAAACAAATCAAAACCTCTACAACATGAAAGCTACATCATAACATGAATAGATGAAGCCTAAAATAAAAGTACACACCATATGAGACCTCTTAAAGCCACACTATGTAACTTTTTGTGCTAAAAATTGACTACAATAAAGGGTATTTCGTTATGGATGTTTTACTGATACATTCTTAGTCTGACCAGGCTTACATCTCCACAAACTTGACTCTTATTTGGCCTTGTTTTTATGGAAATGTTGTTCATTTACTGTAGCTATAGTCCACAGTATGGCATTGAACATATTTATCTTTTTTTTTTTGTTAATATTCTGGTAATGAATTTGACTAGGCTCTGAAATTATACCATGTGATTTGTGAATTTTGTCTAAATTCACAAAATGTAGAAACGTATTATAAATTTGCAACTAGTGTCGTCACACAAACTAGATTTCGGTACTAAGGAATAGACTTGATACTCGATAGAGATTCCACAGTGATAATAAAAACACTCTTTATTTTGACAATAGAATGTGTTTTTTGACATTAAATCATTGTACTTTCTTTTACATTCCCATGTGACCTCATACTCTGGGGTGTAGTAGGCGTGGTACGTCGTTCACCCACTTCTCCCTATGTGAGATATTAAAAAAATAAACTGGTTCAGTCCTGGTTCAGACCTGGTTTAGTCCTGGTTTAGTCCTGGTCTAGTCCTGGTTTAGTCCTGATTTAGACCTGGTTTAGATCTGGTTTAGTCCTGTTTCAGTCCTGGTTCAGTCCTGGTTTAGACCTGGTTTAGACCTGGTTTAGTCCTGATTTAGTCCTGATTTAGACCTGGTTTAGTCCAGGTTTAGTCCTAATTTAGTCCTGGTTCAGTCTTTGTTTAGTCCTGGTCTAGTCCTGGTCTAGTCCTGGTTTAGTCCTGATTTAGACCTGGTTTAGATCTGGTTTAGTCCTGTTTCAGTCCTGGTTCAGTCCTGGTTTAGACCTGTTTCAGTCCTGGTTCAGTCCTGGTTTAGACCTGGTTTAGTCCTGATTTAGTCCTGATTTAGACCTGGTTTAGTCCAGGTTTAGTCCTAATTTAGTCCTGGTTCAGTCTTTGTTTAGTCCTGGTTTAGAACTAGTTTAGACCTGATCTAGTCCTAATTTAGACCTGGTGTAGTCCTGGTTTAGACCTGGTTTAGACCTGGTTTAGACCTGGTTTAGTCCTAGACCTGGTTCAGTCCTGGTTTAGTCCTGGTTTAGTCCTGGTTTAGTCCTGGTTTAGTCCTGGTTCAGTCCTGGTTTAGACCTGGTTTAGACCTGGTTTAGACCTGGTTTAGTCCTGGTTTAGACCTGGTTTAGACCTGGTTTAGTCCTGACTTAGTCCTGACCTAGTCCTCGTTCAGTATTGGTTTAGTCCTGGTTTAAATCTGGTTTAGACCTGGTTTAGTCCTGGTTTAGTCCTGGTTCAGTCCTGGTTCAGTCCTGGTTCAGACCGGGTTTAGACCTGGTTCAGACCTGGTTCAGTCCTGGTTTAGTCCTGGTTTTGACCTGGTTTAGACCTGGTTTAGACCTGGTTTAGACCTGGTTTAGACCTGGTTTAGTCCTGACTTAGTCCTGACCTAGTCCTCGTTCAGTATTGGTTTAGTCCTGGTTTAAATCTGGTTTAGATCTGGTTTAGACCTGGTTTAGTCCTGGTTTAGTCCTGGTTTAGTCCTGGTTCAGTCCTGGTTCAGTCCTGGTTTAGACCTGGTTTAGACCTGGTTTAGACCTGGTTTTTAGACCTGGTTTAGTCCTGGTTTAGTCCTGGTTTAGTTGGTTTAGTCCTGGTTTAGAATCTGGTTTAGATCCTGGTTTGGACCTGGTTTGGTCCTGGTTTAGTCCTGGTGATTATGAACGCTGTTAATGTTAATAACAAGATTCTGCATCATTTTGAGTAGAAAAAAAAAACAAACTATATGCCACCTGTGTGTATTTCGGCATGTCAAGTTGAGTGTATGTCTTTTGGAGGTGGGGTTTGGACGTCACAAATCGCAAAACCTCACTTCAAAAATCCCCACTACACCACTGCTTATATCTGTGTAATCCCTCAGTGGTCCAGGTAGTTTCCACAGTGCTCCATGTGCATATACTAGTCTTTTTGCTCTTATTCTTGTTCTGATACAGGCTCAAGATCATTCTAAAGACATTCAAGAAAGCTTCATTTCTGTCCTGTCAATGTGTTTTTTTAGTATCGATACCTGCACACTTGAGTTTCTAGTTTCGATACCAGTTTTAGTATCAACGAGAATCTGATTTTAAATACTTTAGACGACACTATTCGCAACTAGGAGTATTCTGTCTTGTGTTTTTCTTTCTCTTTGACAAACACACCTGAACATGAATGAACTGAGTAAATAAACCCTACACGAATCCTTTGTGGCAGCTCCTTTTTCCATTCAGTGTATTAAACCCTTTGTTGCGGTGTTAGCTTACACAGTACATTATATTCTACTGAAGTACCCGCACCACGTTCTGCTATTTATCCATTATTTATAAACCCATTGTTAAAACACCAGCTACCTGCTTTGTTGTCTCAACTCAAAATACCAAAGTAATTAATCTACATCTGTTTGCATACATATTAGAAACACGCTTTTATTAATCGCTCATACTTAATGCTTTCAACTCCAGACAATGGGCTCATTCCTCATAGCGGCCGTGTCGTGTGGAACAGTGCCACCACGTGGACGCTACCGGGAAGCGCAGCCCTCGTTTATTAGTCTGTGTTGCTTTAATTCCTCAGCCGAATTGGTCCCACAGGAATGGCCTGGAAAGATTCACTCCAACACTTCGCCGATATCGCAATGAGTCTTACTGCGACTGTGTTAAGAGCTCGGGCTGTTTATCGATTGCGGATTTGTTGTGGGAGATTTTATACTTTAGAATATCATGAAGTAGAAGTACAAAATGGTCATCTGAAGAAATACTGGACCAACAGTAGGAAGTGGTCTTAAGTACGAGTGTATTTTCAGAGTTGTTATGGATGAAACGTTTGATTGTGAGTAAGTTTTTCAACATTTAGATTTTGTAATTTTTCACTGTAGCCAAAAAAATCGTCAAAAACTTCCAAATATTGTACTGTAAATCTGTCTTAGACCTGGTTTAGTTCTGGTTTGGTCACGTTCTAGTCCTGTTTTAAACCTGGTCGAGTTCAATTTGCAGTACTTGCCCCTGGTGGTGGTGGGTTTGAATGTTTTATTCACATACTATGGTTGTGCAGTTGAGCAAGACACTTCACACATCTTGCTTTCTTTCTGTCAATCTACAAAATGATGAATAATGCAATGTTAAAACAAGTGTCTTTAAAGGTGCACTGTGTAGCTTTTCCTGTCAGGCGTTTGCCACCTTTATGTTGCCATGGAGGTATTATTGCTTGATCTGGAATGTTCCGCAGTTTGGCATTAAACCTATCTAATCAGTGGTGTTTTTATTGCGCAAAAGTACCTTAAAAACATGCTTCCATACCATGAGAAGACTTGCTTTATCAGATTTGTAACAACGGCAAAGCAATAACATCTCCATGGAGACGAAGAGGAGGTTGTGGACCCTGCATCACAAATGTTACATAGCGTCCAGAATATCAATAGAAAAAATCAAATGCGTTGCTGAAATAGTCTGAAATGTACTTTTAATTGCAGTTTGAAGTAACATAGTACTATTTTTGTGTCTCCCTACAGAAAGTTCTACTACATCACGCTGCTGAGGGACCCTGTGTCGCGGTACCTGAGCGAGTGGAGACATGTCCAGCGGGGGGCCACGTGGAAGACCTCCCTGCACATGTGCGACGGCCGGACCCCCACCCCAGAGGAGCTGCCGTCCTGCTACGAGGGCTCCGACTGGTCCGGGTGCACACTACAGCAGTTCATGGACTGTCCCTACAACCTGGCCAACAACAGACAGGTGAGGGGGATTTGATTTGACTTTGGAAATTTTATGAATATCGAGGAACTGGTGAAAGGTAGACACTGAAATTAAAGTGACTATATTACGCTACTTTCTGATCTGTTACAAATGTTGTTTCTTCGTCACAAAGAGACCTGGAGTTGTGTTTATATGATGACGGTCTGAAAAGAAGACGCAAAAGTGGCTTCGCGTCTTCACTTTTTATTCCGCGTTTAGACGAGTGTTTTCGAGAGGAAATCTGCGTGCATACGGTAATGCAAAAGTATGTGGAATTCGATTGGGTATGCATGCCAGGCGGTGAGTTGGTTGACGCTGGAACTTGTTTGTAGTGATGTATGTGACGTAAACGCGCATGCGACATAAACATGTGCGCGACCTTGAGCAGATCTGACCAGAGTTTTGCGTCTTGGGCAGTGTAGATGAAAACGCTACAGCGGAGCGTATTCAACTTTTCCACTCTGAAGGTTGGTTTCAGATTTTTGCATTTTTAAGCCACAAAAACGCCGTCACCGTCTAAACGAAAGGCACTTCCGATAAAATATTTTGTCATTTTTACCCACAAGCGTTATCGTGTTAAACTGGCCCTCAACAGAAAACACGCTTTTCCACATTGTAATGTAATGTAGTGATAAAAGAAGTGCTCCACTGTGTTTTTAAACTCCATACACCTTCACTTGAATAAATTGGATCATTTCAGCCTTAAAAATTCCATACTCAAACATATGTGAATGAAACAAAACACAACTCCAGGTATGTTTTTGATAAGGAAACAACATTATAACATGACTGAAAGACTCAATTATGTGTAATATAGAAGCTTTAAAGACACTATACCTGATTTTAACACAATCATTTCATTTAAACAGTTCTTAAACAGGGTTCTTGACCCACTAAAGACTAAAAAAGGGGGCGTAGCAAAAGCTCTCGAAACTGTTGCTTATCTCTATGTATCTGACCCAAGCTGCACTCACAAGACTACACCTGCTCGGGAATTCACGCAAAAACAACTCAGGAAAAACAGTGCAAGGAAAACAGTTAATATTTATGTAAAACTAACTCATAATAAATACAAAAAATACCAGATCTTCAGCTAAATCACTCACTAACTTACCTTTCTGCTGCTTATATTCTTTTAATCTAGATAAAATGAGAGGTTGGCAGAGGTTGGTCGTGACGGTAAACCACAATTAACATGCTAACACACACTTCCTGATTATCAGACACAAATACACTTTATAATTCGATGCAGACAGCACAGATTTTACAATAAATCTGTACTGGGGCAAGACAAAATGGCTGCAGACCCTTTTAAGTGACCTGCTTTATAACATCAAACTGGGCTGAAGTTGTTTTGTGACCTAAATAATGACTTAATTATGCTGATTTTTTTTAGTTTTCTGGCCTCTATTTTGCTACTTCTTAAAAACATCAGTGCACTGGTTACACATTCACAAATTGGACGTCATGTCGAAGTGTTTTGCCCAAAGACACAGCAGCAGTACGCGGCTGGGAGCAGAGATCAGCGCGCGAGCCTTTTTGTTAGATTCAGAGTTGGTATCTGTTGTTTCTACCGCTGACTTGCAACAAAGAAATAATTTGGCGTGTTCTTGTACTTGATGAAGTTACGTGGGGAATTGAAAAGTTGCTCTTTCATCTTATTTTATTGGCGCGCTCCAGTTTAGTGAAGAGTGTGCTCTTGAGGTTTTAAAAATCATTGGCTGGCGCTGTTCTGAAATCGACTTCAAAACAAAGAAAACACAAGTCTATTATAGGTCCTGCATTCAAAGTAAAAAAAAAAGAAAAAAAGTTCTTTACAGCATAAAACTACTTCTTGTTTAAACATTTATAATCAAAATAGAAAATGACTTGGACGCAGTAGCTCACACATTACGAATAAAAGAAAATGAAAAAATAAATTGGCAAAAAGCAAAAGAACAGATTTGTATTGTGTAATTTATACCACAGGCCTTTATTTTATGTTATTTTTTCAACATCATTTAATTTTCTACATCTGAGCTAATTGGTGGAAACATGGTGGTTAATCCATTTTTTTTCTATTTTAACTCTTGTAAAGGTGCACTGCGTAACATTTTCAAGAGGGTCTGCCACCTGCTTGTCGCCATGGAAATGTTATCAGTTTGTCTAGAATGTTCCACAGTATACATTAAATCTAAATCTATCACGAGGGAGACGAGCAGTTAACAGCACTATGCTACGTTACAGTTCAGATCTGTGGAGAGTCGCCCCTATTCACAGAATCAATGATTATTCTGTATTTTGGGGCAATAGAAACAATAGAAAAAAACATAATCAGGGTTCCCACAGTCATGGAAGTCTTAGAAAAGTCATGGAAATTTGTAAATATAATGAAAGTTTTGGAAAAGTCATGGAATTTTAGGAATTAACTCTTTCACACAACTACAGCGTTCTGTTAAGTTATCATTAGGCTGTTATGATTATTATTTCTGAACATATGCGCCTTTTGTTTAAAAGAGACGACAATAAATGCACTGACAGTATTTTGAATGTTAAATAACTTTAAAACCAAACCATAAGGTGAGTGGAAAGAGTTAACATTTCATATTTAGTCCTAAAAGTCTGATCAATTCTACACATGTAGGTGCCGTAAAGTCATGGGAAAGTTTTGAAATTTTGTCAGTGAAAAAGAATGGGAACCCTACATAATGAATAAATGAGTAAATTCTAGAAGGATATGTATAATTTCAAAGTAAGGAACATTCCAGGAAAAGCAATAACATCTCCCTGGAGACAAGCCGGTAGCCTCTCCGCCACAAATTGGTCAAATATCAAAGTCTGACGATAATTTTCACTGAATTTGAAAAGGTATCTCAGTAAATTTGATAAAATTGGGCAACGACAAACGCCACTTCTCCGTCATACTCAGGCATTGCCACAGAACACAATCATTAGCCTGCGTTTACATGCACAACTAACTACGCTGACAACGTTCTTCATCCAATTTTTCTTGTTTCTCTAGAGGACCTGTCAAACCACTCCTGTCGTCTACAGCAGGTCAAAAAGCGAGACAAAAAAAGAGACGTTCAGAGTGTCTAGTATTAGCATTAGCGTTAAAACGTTTGTGCTAATATTGCTAGTTGAAACTGCTAGCATACATAAAGACTAACCACATACTTTGCAGATACAGATAAATAACAATGATTTTACTAGAAAGAAATGTGTTGCTCAAGTTATTTACTCTCTGGAACACAAATAAACACATCAAAGCTTGGGAGTTTTTCTCTATTTACCCGGAACAGTCCCAGTTTTGAGCCCTGTGTCCCCTGTCCCAGCAGATTTATACAAAACCACTGATTTGTCCCAGTTTTATACAAAAAATGTCCCAGGTGTCTGTATTTTTGACCAATTTGATCCCAGCCAACAGTAAAAAGAGGCATAAACTCTCATTTGTTTAGGTAAAATACAAAAAATCAGCTTAAAAACAACAAAAACACAAAGAAAATGTGACTATACTGGCTCACATGCTCGTCCTGAATGGTCTCTGAATAACAGTTTTTGTTAATTACGCACTCAATTTTACAATTTTATTATTACCAACCAGCAAAAAATCGGGAATGTCCTAGTTTTTTGTTGTGAAATTCTGGTCACCCTAAATGTAGTGGACCAATACAATGAAACTACACGTTTAGTAATAGCTTGTTAGCATAAGCCTTGTTTGATATTAAAAAACTAAACTAAACTAATATTTACATGGCTGTTTAAGATCTTATATTACACAAAATTGACTCTTGAGAGCTTTAAGTCATGTTATAATGTTGTTTCCATGTCAAAAAACAGAGCTAGATTTATGTTTTGTTTCATTCGCGCACATTTGAGTAATCCTGCATTATTAGTCTGTCTATATCTCCAGAGCTCAAAATGTTCTGTTTCACCTTGTGATGTCATGAAGCGGTAGTTAAGTTAACAGTTACCTTTTACATTTAGTTCAGTCAAGACTGGCAATTCCAGGTCTGAAATCAACCAAACCTTTCTAGTGAAGGTGTATGGAGTTTAAAAACACCGAACCGAAAAAAACACCTAAGAACCTGGTCTAAATATGCAGGATTTGTGTGTTAAACATGTGAATGAAACAAAACGCAACTCCAGGTCTGTTTTTGATGAGGAAACAACATTATAAGATCAGAAAATGGCATAATATGGGCTTTTTAAAGTTAACAAAATATCTATCTATCTTTGATTTTGTAATAAAAATGCTTGCAGTTGTCATCTATAATCTCTATCAGTTTCATCTGTGATTAGCTGCACACATGTGACACCGGCCAGCGCTCACACCTCCTCTTCACACCCGCGTATCTGCCTCCTAAATGCCTCGGCCGCATCTTGTCCTCGTCCTCGTCCTCCTCCTCTTCGGCATCCTCATCGTCTGCGCCTCGGGGTGCTGTTACCGCGGGTCACCTATCTATCTTCACACATACGACATGCGCTGGCAGACTGCAGGGCCCGGGCTGCTCGAAGTGTGAATCCTGTTGCTGAGACAAAGCAGCGAAATTGCGTTCATGTCCCGACTGTTTTTTGCTCGCCAAGTTAATAATGGAGGTGTCAATAGTAGTGCAATGGAACAGACTTGGCAGGGACAATAGACCAATTCATTACTATTCTGCACTAGTTTACACAAAAGGGATATCCCCGAGCTATTCAGAATATTGGTTCTATACTCACGAGTGTTTCGCAATGTGACAAAAGCATATGCCTGTTGTAGTGATTCATCCCATTGGTATTTTTGTACTTTTGTGGACAGGGGCGTAGGACTGGGGGGGTAAAGAGTATTGTTTACCCAGGGCCCGGTGCAATAGGGGGCCCTTTTCGAAGTCTAATGTGTGTTTTTCATCAAGATGATTTTTGCCCTGGGCCCAGAGTTTGGTGCTGCATCCCAGTTTGTGGATAAATAAATCTTTGGAAATTGTCATTGTGACAGTGGTTGATGGGTCTAGAGCTAGTGATGTTTTGGGCGTAAGAGAGTTAAAAATACTACTACTACTACTACTACTACTACTACTACTGCTAATGTTACTTCTAATACCACTGCTGCTACTACTGCTACTAATACTACTACTACTACTGTTACTTGTACTAATACTAATGCTACTACTGCTCCTAATAATATTGCTACTGCTGCTACTATTGCTACTACTACTACTGCTACTGCTACTACTACTACTACAACTACTATTACGGCTACTATTACTACTGCTACTACAACTACTACTACTACTGTTACTATTACTGTTACTTCTACTGCTACTACTACTACTACTACTACTACTACTACTACTACTACTACTACTACTAGTACTATTAGTACTGGTGCTAATACTACTGCCACTGCTACTACTACTACTACTACTACTACTACTACTACTACTACTACTACTACTGCTACTACTACTACTATTACTGTTACTACGTTACTACTACTACTACTACTACTGTTACTACTACTACTACTTACTACTGTTACTACTACTACTACTTACTAGTACTGCTACTACTGTTACTACTGCTACTACTACTACTACTACTACTACTACTACTACTACTACTACTACTACTACTACTACTACTACTACTACTACTACTACTACTACTACTACTACTACTACTACTACTACTACTACTACTACTACTACTACTACTACTACTACTACTACTACTACTACTACTACTACTACTACTACTACTACTACTACTACTAACTACTACTATACTAAGCTAACTACTAATACTACTAATAATAATACTAATATAATAATACTGCTACTACTACTACTACTGCTACTACTACTGCTACTAATACTACAACTATTGATACTACTATTGCTACTACTACACGTAAGACTGCAACCTACTCTTATTTGTGACAAGAAAGACACTTGGCCAGTTACATTTTTTAAATGGTCAAGAAAACTCGAGTTAACGTTACTCCCTGTGTGTCGTGTAGGTGCGCATGCTGGCAGACCTGAGCCTCGTGGGCTGTTACAACATGTCCACGGTGCCGGAGAAGAAGCGCGCTCAGCTCCTCCTCGAGTCGGCCAAGAAGAACCTGAGGGACATGGCCTTCTTCGGGCTCACGGAGTACCAGAGGAAGACCCAGTTCCTGTTTGAGCGCACCTTCAGACTGCGCTTCATCAGGCCCTTCATGCAGTACAACAGCACCAGGGCGGCGGGCGTGGACCTCGACAACGCCACGGTGAGTGAGAGTGCATCTGACTCACAGCGAGAAGGTCCCATGTTCAGTTTTTGTGGTTTTGTTGGGTGCAGCAGTTACAGAGAGAGGAGTGACAATTTTTAAATTAATGTGTTTACATGCGCATCAGTATCCCGGTTATGACAGAGTTTATATACGCTTAGAAAAACCAGGATACTAATATTTCTGTGTACATTTTACATTACATTTTTAGACTAGTTTCTATGGTAACTATGGCACAGATATGTCAAGGAGCTAAACATGAGCAACTTTGCTAACTTATGGCCTTTTAACGGGTTTCTAAAAACAAAAAAGACGACAACAATATCCTGCTAAATTAAAATGACTTAAATTAAGAACGTTTGACTTTATTTGAGTCGATTCAACTTGACATCTGCCAATGGAATAAGTGTGTTTTTCTTAATTCAAGCAACATTTGGTTTTGTGCAAAAAGTTGTTGTTTTTCCTATTTTAAGGGTAGGAAGATGTATTTTCATATTTTAAGAATAAAAAGTCTTGTTCCACTGGCAGATCATTTTACTTGCCAAGTGAAATTTACTCAAAACATGATAAAAATTTTATTTAAGTCATCTTAACTTGGCTAGATTTATTTTAGTATAAAATATTTCTTAAAATGTCCTGGTTGGAGTTTGAGTCATTTTGAGGAAGTAATTGCTCCTATCATTTTTGTTAATTGAGTTTGCACATGTTCAGCACAGCTTCAGTTTTGGAAATAAGGACACCACATCTACAGGCCACAGAATCTTGAATACTCTCTGAAAAACCCAGTGAGAGTCTCGTGGTTTCTCATATTCAGGATATTGAAATCAAAATACATGGACACATGGACACATAACTAGGATACTCAAAAAACCCGATCATAACCGGGATACTCAAGCGCATGTAAACGCACTTACTCTGTAGTTAACTGGAACCAGAGTCGATAGAGCCAAAAGTGCCCCCATACTCACTTCCTTTTTGGACTGGACCAACTAGTGGGTTAGCCATGTCCATTTATATTTACAGTTTAAGGCACACGTGTCAAACATAAGGCCCGGGGGCCAGATCCGGCCCTCCAAGACCTTTAATCTGGCCCTCGGTTGATTTTCTACTAAAATATTTGAATGATATTTTCTATAAAAATCTTGTTAATTTTCTGTGGTGTTTATCACAGCAGCGTCTCCAGCGTCTCTGTACTTGGCCCCTCCCAGCAGAGCAGCACAAATGAAGACTTGTCTCTTTCCAAACGCTCTTAAAGGACGATCGTTTTGACTGTTGACCGTGACACCCTCATCAACAAAATGTCCAACATGAGAAAAGTGGAGCCGAGTGCAGGATATAAAAAAAAAAAAAGACTTATTCCTTTACATCCTTTACATTTCCATACAAGTTCATGTTAAAACATTGTGTTGAAATTGCATTTTTCTTAAAGTTTCAGGTTGTCATAATATTATAATATTTAGTAAAAGAAAGAGTTCATCAATTAAAAAAGATTTCTGTAATAGATTTGTGTTTCTCTGCACAAATATTTGAACTTATTGTTATTTTTGGGGTTTATATGACATGAGTTTTCTGATCAGTTGGATACGGCCCCCGGACCAAAATGAGTTTGACACCCCTGGTTTAAGGTGTAGCTCCAGTGGTCTCTCAGTCTTGGTGGGATTCCCATAGATGCTCTCTAGTTTCTCCCATCAACCAAAAACGTGCACAGTGAACTAATCCTTCAGCTAACTGACTGACTAGGGTTGTGCAAAAATATTGAAATATTGATATATTGTTTTGCTTAATATCATGACATAGTATCGATATCGGGGGCTGCTGTATCGATATATCTCCAAGGATATTTTTTGGTGTATTTTACTAAATTATTTTGTTACAGCTACAGTTTTGTTGCTTGTTTAGAGGACGGAAACATGTTCATGCGACACATTTTACATATTTACTGTTCTGATGATTAAAATGGGTGTGTTTCATATTAACTTTGCACAAAAACTGGTTTAACAAATACTTTTAGTACCACAGCCACGATTTAGCCATTATTTTTACTGAACTGTATCGAATCAATGTGAAATATATCGCATCGAACCGGACTGTATCGAGGTATGTATCGTATCGTGGCCTATGTATCGAGGTAAGTATCGTATCAGCAACTTCTTGTTATCCAGCCCTACTCTTACCATGAAATTCAGCTCATTCCCCCACATTTTGTTCATGGTAATAGTGGTACAACCTCTTTGGATTTTAGCAAGTGCTTTCTGGTGTGGTCTGGCCATATCTTCAAATGGGACTGAAAATCTGACCTCGGCTAACACCATCTGTCCACAAATAAAACCTTTGATAAAGAAAGGCGTTTCTCACACCACGTGTATTATTTATAGCGCCTCTGCAATGCCAGGAATGTGCCCAGAAGTGACTCCGAGTGGCCACTTTGATAAGACCTTGATGTGTGAAGATGTGTTGCCACTTACAACTCTTTGAATTCAAGTCAGGGCCATTAAAGAAGACATCATGTGCTTGTGTCTGCTATTAAGTTATAATCTGTCACACCCAGGGTCATATTTTGGGTATTTTAATGGTGTACTATGCAGCTTTTTGGTTTGGGGTCCATCACCTGCTTGTTAATGCCTGGAATGTTCCACATGACATTAAACAGCTCAACCTTAAAACTGATTAAATTACAGGTGGTTTTATAGCTCAAAATGTCTACAAAAAACTTATTTTCATTCAGCTTGGTCTGGTTTGGTCTCCATGAAGATAGAAAGGTTTAATGCCAGACTGGCCTCGTTTGCATGATGATTTTTAATTTTGAATTAATTGTTCTGAATTAAATAGTTTGGAATTTAAATATTGTCCTTCGAGTTTACATGGAAAACACGTTAAATTGCCTTTATTTTATTCTGCTCAACATCTGGAAGTCGGGAAGGGTTCTGATTCGACAGGGACACAAGCGTATTTACGTCGACCGGAAGAAAACACACACTTCAGCTGCTACTGGCTTTTTTTATAATCTCGGTTTTTCATTATGCCACGGACACAAACATGATCCAAACTTTTTTTTCACTGTTGTTTTGATGATAATTCAGCAGCAACTCGAGAATTCTGTCATCACGCTTTACATCTGTCAGCTGAGGAGGAGAAGGGAAGAGTGTCAGAGAAGGGAGGAAGAAGGGAAGAAGAGTCAACGGCTGCTCTACTTCAGCCCACTCGCAAATCCAAAAAGCAGTGGATGAAAGTCCAAAGTGAGGACTGGTGGAACTGGATCGTCCGGATCATGTCAGAAGGGCGATGCGCTGAACGACCGGAATTATTTTTAAGAAGAATAAACGTTTACATGATTGAGGAATAAATTAATTCAGCTTTAAAATCGGAATAAACCAAACACTTACTTCAGAATTAAGTTTATTTCCGAATAATCATTTTCATTAGGAAATAAGTGTTTCCATGTTTGTTTGTTTTTTAAGCAGAATTCATTTTTATTCAGAATTAAATAATTTTTATTTGCAATTATAGCTCTCATGTAAAGGTGGCAATTGTGAAACATTCCAGACAAAGCAATAACATCTCCATGGAGAAAAGCATTTGATGGACCCTCCACCTGAAAAGTTACACAATGCACCTTTTTAAATTGCAATATTCATCTAAAACAGCTGAATAAAAGAAGCAAGTCCGCTCATTTCTTGGTTGGAAAATTGCGGAGCCCAATGAGATATTAGGAGTCAATTCCCATCTGCCTCTTTACGCTACGTTGTCTTAAACGCCACCACAACGAGGCATCGCATGCTGTGAGATCTTCCTATGGATGGCTGTAGATCAAGCGAGCAGCAGCAGATTTTATTTTCATTTGTGCCGAAATGGTGCCAAATCCTATGCGTATCACCGATTGAGAAAATAAAATTGGAGTACAAAGTAAGAACAGAGCAGTGGGCGTGTACCGGTGGCGGTGAAAACATCTTGAATACAGGAGATGACTCAAACATGCATGAATCTCTCTAAATACAACTTCGAGAGGCTAAATGAAAAGAGGAAACTGTCATAACATTTCAGTAACATGTCAGTTTGATTTTGTACAGATCAGGAATCAGAATACGCTAGATGGATTGCAAGAACCCTGGAAGTTGTAGACCACGCACAGGCCAATCAGCGAAGAGCTGTGAAGGCACGACGTCAAACTCAAGCGCCTGTCTGGGTCCCTTTTGTGGTACAGCACAACAGTAAACAAAGCGGTCGAGATGGATGTAGACGAAGAAATACATTCTGTGCTGGCAATGATTCCTGAGATCGAGGATTTAAAGCCAGAACAAAGAGAATGTTTGGTGAATTTTACCAAGAGGAAAGACATTATTGCTCTTCTTCCTACGGGATTTGGGAAAGCTTAATATACCAGTTACCCCCTTTAGTGGAGCATTTCATACGTCACGACCAAATAGCAGCGGTTGGTTCAATAAAAAAAGTACCCACCTACCATCTAGCGAACGAATCCTAATGCTGCGATTTCACTTCGTGGAAACCGGCTGATGAATCAGGCTACTGTCTACATCTCCAAAGCTCAAAATGATCTATTCCAGCTTGTGATCAAATTAACAACTACCTTTTACCTTTAGTTCAGTAGAGATTGGCAATTTCGTGACTGAAATCATCCAAATGATTCTAGTGAAGGTGTGAGGAGTTTAAGAACACAGTGAAGCACTTCCTGTATCACCACATGACATCCCAAGGTTGGAATTTTTCCTGGTTGAGACAAGAATTCAGCCTAAATATGCAGGCTTTGTGTATTAAACATGTGTGAATGAAACAAAAACAACTCCAGGTCTGTTTTTTGATGAGGAAACATTATAGCATAGATCAGAAAATAGCGTAATATGAGCCCTTAAAGAATAACCACTAGGAAGGTTGTTTTTCCAATGAATTTCCAGAAAAAAAACAACATTTTGGTGAAATCGACATGGTAAATAATGTGTAAAATGATGAAATACACTGTGTTACTGAAGAGAAAGCGTTTGAATAATCGTGCATCACTACTGTGAAATGAGATCGGTTCAAAAGCAGTGACCTCAAAGACTCGCAGACTGCACGCTGGACCACAACAGTTTTCAAAATTATGAAAAAAAAACAAAAAACTGTTTATATTATAATATTTTCAAACCGCATTGTTAGGAGTCTGATAGAAAGAGTGGATGACAGTTGCTTCGTGCTACTTTGTGTTGACAAGCTTAAAATTGCGTTGTCAGCCCAGCTACCCTTCGCGGTTCATCAACATATAATTTTGAAGCAGTTATTGATGGATCTGTTTTGCACACAAATCATTTTCAGCAATCACAATCACGACTCGAATCACACTGGGGACTGCCTTCCACCGTGAACGCACAAAAGCAAAGAGACATCAGAAGTAAAAACGCTAACATGACATATTTACTCAATATTTCTCAGTGTTTGTTATGCTCGGCTTCAGATGTTGATGATGTAATGCTTATTTTCTCAGTTTGGGGTTTTGAAGGAAAAGAACTTTAGTCATAGGAAATGGCAACTCAAGATGTGAGACTCATGTGAGACTCATTGTGTGCTGATTGGATAATTGTCTTGAGAACCAAAACCCCAAATTATAACATAAACAACTTAACCATCATGTCCAATGTTTGTTGCTTCCCATGTTTTGTTCGTTAGCTATAAATAGAAGGTGATATACGAACGATGAACTGATCAGAACATGTCTGATGAAGTTCCGTAGATGTTAAAAACGCAAAGGAGCTATGTGGGAATTACCATCAGATGATTACAAGCTGTGGGCCTGCTTTGTTTTGAGGATTACTCCCAATGAGCTCAGCAAAGCTTTGTTTTTGATGTGGAAGTGAGAAAAAAAAAAGTTTGTAAAAGTCCATTTAGGGCCTGTTTATAAGAGAACACTTGCGGGTAAAAACGTCATAATATTTTAGCGGAAATGCCTTTCGTTTAGACAGTGATGGAGTTTTTGTGGCTTAAAAACACAAAAATCTGAAACCGTCCTCCAGAGTGGAAAAGCTAAATACGTTCCACCATAGCGTTTCCGTCTACACTGCCCAAGACGCAAAACTTACAGCACCACCGAGCTGCCTGGCACGCATACCCAATCAAATTCCACACACTTTTGCGTCACTGTATGCACGCAGATTTCTTCCCGAAAACGCTTGTCTAAACGCAGAATAAAAAGTGAAGGCTTGACAGCACTTTTGCGTCTTCTGTTCAGATCATCATCATATAAAGGTAGCCTTAGAGGGAAGTGTTTTTAATGGTAGTTTTGTGGCAGTTGCATCTTCAGTGTATTGCAGTGTACTTATGGAATGGCATCTGGTGTAAAACTCTGCCAAATAACTCAAGCCGGTTCACTGTGGCAACTCCCGACTGAGAATGCAGCACCCAAAAACACGCTCAACACCTAAAGATCTCACTGTGGCTAAGTAGCACTCACTCCTTACAGAAAGAAGGTTCAGCTCCCAGGTCACCTCAGATCTTTCTTTGCGGAGTTTGCATGTTCTCACTGTGTCTTGGGTGGTCTCCTTTGGGTGCTCCAGTTTCTCCTACCAACCCAAAACATGCACAGTAAATAAAATCTTCCAACTAAGATAGTCCTGACCAAGTCTAGCAACAAGATCAAGGAGATGGGTCCCAGAGGATGTTGCCTGACCAGCCATTCCCGTCTACATTCTGTTTCCAATCTAGAAGTGACTGGAACCGGACAATAGAGCTTGATAAACCTTTGTCTAAACTTGAGACAATCCAACCACATCTGAAAAAATTGTAGCACGTGTCTCTCAAATGCAAAAGAAATTCCTTCTCCAAAATTCCTGTAACTTTCAGAACAAAATATATAACTTATTTGACCTAAGATTTGTGCTTCGATTGCTGGTTCTGTAAAGATTCTCGCTTTATTATGTTTGTTTTTGATGTGAACAGTGCACGTGTCTCTGATTGGTTAATCCGCCTGTCAGTCACACTTTCTGAAATCAGGGAGACCGTATACGACCTCAGATCCTGTCGTCTTTGTTAAGTTTTGTCAAAGCGTATTGTCCTGGCTGGTCAGATAACTGAGAACAGAGACAGTAACGTGCACCTTATTCCAGGGTTATGTTAAAATCAAACTTCTTTTTGTAAATAATAACAATTGTATTTTGTTCTCTTTCAGATCCAGCGCATCGAGGAGCTGAACGAGCTGGACATGGAGCTCTATGACTACGCCAAGGACCTGTTTCAGCAGCGATACCAGTTCACCAGGCAGCAGGAGCGCAGACAGCAGCGCCTCAAGCACCACCTGCAGTCCCACCAGGGCCTGGGGCTGGGGGTGAGCCTGTGGCCCTCCTCCCCCCAGGACGAGGAGGGGGCGGAGAGCAGAGACGAGCCGGAGGAGGCTGGGGGACGCACGGAAGAGCTGGTGGGCTCCAGACTCCCCACCGAAGACTACATGAATCAGATTATCAACCGCTGGTAGCATAAGGACTACTGAAGGACTAGAGTGGAGAGGGTTGGTCAAATGCATGAGTGAATGAAGGTGGTTTTGTGTTTTTGGCAATATTTTTAACAGTTTTTTTTATAAGATGATTTTATTTCATATTATTAGCACAAGTTTTTATTTTGATATAATTTTTTCACAATTAATCCAACAAAAATTGAAATTTATAAATCTGAAGTTTCATTAGGCTTGTGGTTGGATATATTTTTAAGTCATTTTAGAATTTTGAGAATTTATCATTTTAAAAGAAAAGTCCCATTGCATTTCCTTTTTTTCCTCCAATATATTTTATACACAATTTTTATAAAAACAGTGGTGACCTTGACATTTATTTAACTTTTTTGTTTAATTTTGGTTTATTTTTTCCATGTTTTTGTTGCTGAAATTTCAAAACTCTATCAATTCAGTGTCAAAAATAAGCTTGAATGAAAACAAACACAAAACTACCTTCATGAAACTTTGCAATTGACTCTGGGGGTGAGTTAATTGTGGTTGCTATGGAAACCCGGGGCTCGGTGCGTTCAATGCCGGGCCGACGTTCGAGCGCTCCCCCTGCCCCGTTCGCTTCTGTCTGTCCCGCCGTCTGAACAGCCCCAGTTCAGTCCCGTTTGGAGCATGAGAAATTTCTAACAAAATTCCCACTTTATCCTCGCGACGGACCAGACTGTATCCTGGAAGACAATGAAAGTATATGGGACGACAAGAACATTATGAAAAGTGGGGACAGAAGACTTTAAACGACTTTCTGCTTTAAGAAATCCGCCATTTTCCCCATGAACAAGCTTGGATCACGATCATTTTAGGAGAACGCATCATTCTGTATTTTCCTTTTGTGTGTATGCTTTTTTGAAAGCAGAATTGTAATAACACTGAGACCAATATTGCTGCCTAAAGAATTCCTTTTATTCCTTTATTTTTGTCGATTTTTTATTTTTTCAAAGCTATTGGATTGGATCTTCGCATAGTCGGACCATAGCCATTTCTGAAGCCTTGAAACTTTGAAAAGATTGTGTCATTTGTCTGGGTAAGGCTTCCCTAGTTCCTGAAAATGACGCTAGGCTATGCTACGCTAAGCTATGCTAGGCTAGGCTAATTGTTTTTATCACAGGCACATCAACTTTGCTACCTTAATTAGGGATGTAACAATAACCAAAATATCATGATATCATATCATCAAAGGTCTCACAATAATATCAGGGGGCGTCACAATATATCGAATTATATGTTCCTTTGTGTAAATGCATTTTTTTATAGTAGCAATAGCTAATAAACAACGGGAACTACATATCCCATGATTCATTTCAGCGCAGGACAACATGAAATAACGTGTGTTTTATTGAATTCTTCACACCAAATTCTTGTCAGAGTATTTTAAAAGCAAAAAAGCGTCCTATCTACAATAATATCAGCCTCTCCAAAATATCTTAATAAATATCGTACCGTGACATGCATATTGTGATATCGTTACATCCCAAACCTTAATGTTTCTTTTAAAAATCAAATTTACAATCAAAATTATTAGATTAATAAGATTGAATGTCACAATATTTCACGTGTTTGATTTACTGTGAAAAGAAATATGATGATTTTATTTTTCAACGTACAATTTTTAATCCTCAATTTTTCTAAGATTTTTTTAAGTTTTAAATTAGCTTTGATTTTTTTTTTTTTTTTTTTTCACAAAATTCTTAGGGTTAACCTTTTGTGGCATTCAAAAAAACCCCAAAATCTAGTGACCATCCTTGGGCATTGTATAAAAACCTCTATTACGATACATATACACAAATATTTTCCTCTCTCTCCGTCCCATCCCACTATGCAGACCGCTGGAGGAGCCACTTTCCCTGGACCACCACGTACGTGTTGTTGACGAGCAATGCGGACCGACAAGCCAATGGGAGCGTCCGTTACTCGGGAGACCTCTCACTATGCAAGCGCGCGACCGGCCGAACCCTCTTCATCTTTCAAGTCATGTAAACGTATTAATATTTTTCCGACAGCCAATTAGAGCGCGCCGTTTCGGTCTGGGTGAGGTATCAGAAGCGAAAGGCGGAGGGCGGCGGATGAAGGGAGGAGGGGAGGAGGGGAGGAGGGAGGAGAGTGTGTGTGGGGTGGGGGGTTGTTGTCAGGCCCCCCGCTGTGGAGCCGTGGAAGCCTTACCTCAGACAAATTTGTGGAAAATGTTAGAACTGCTGGTCGCCATGGCAATGTGTGAACCCAGTGCACATTTGGGTCTTTTTTAACTTTCATGCAAATGCTTTTTTTTTTTTTTTTTCCTCTCTCTTCAGCTTTTAACTGTTGACAAAATTCAGCTGGTTTAACTGTACTAAAGAAAAGAATTGAATGTGGTCGCTGTATTTCTTCTTAGTCATGTTGTAAGCACTTGTTTGTTTGCTACCTACCTTTTTTTCTTTTTACCTTATTGACTGTTTCTGTGGACTTAGAAGGAGCACAACAGGTACACTGGTTTGTAAACCCATTTGTAGCTTAATTGGTCAAGTGCTTAAAATGAACATTTGTTTTCTTTAGTCTGTAAGTAATTCATAACACATGTTTATCTAACGCAGTTTTTTAAGTTGGTCTACTTAAAGCTACCAGCATTTATATATTTTTTTACCAGTAGATGGGAAAACTGATCTTAAATAAGTACAAATGGCTTGACGTTTATTGAATTTTGAGTAGATTTGGAGTAGATTTGACTGCTTTCCAATTGAAGTTTTCTTTTTTAGTCATTTTTAGTTGAAGAATTTGCATTTCTTTATTTTAAGTGCAACTGAACAGTTTTTCTAGTTTTAAAGCAACAGTATGTCACTTTTTCTTTGCCAAAAACTAAGGCTGAATGATTTTAAGAAAAAAATTAGATTTTTCTGGCAGATATTGCAATTTCAATTTCATCCACAATTGTTTTCAAATCAAGTTTCAGTTTCATGAACATTTGCAAACATCACAGAAACTTACATCATACCGGAGTCCTGCACTGACGATTTGATGATTTTTGGACCGTTTGTGCACATTTGTTTACGTTTTACAGAAATGAAACTTAAAAGCACATGGCTCATTTGCATAAACCATACGCCCTAAAAAAATGCAGTTCGCTCCTTGTGCGCTGATGTGGTTCAGCTTCTGTCGGACTAAAGACACGACTCAGTGGAATATGAGTGTTCTTTCTGTGACAGAGGATGTGCTGCTGATGCTGAGTCTGTTCTGTTCTTCTATTGCACTGGTGAATTACTCTGCAGCACATGGACCTCAACACAGACCCATTAATCAAAAACGACGGCAACAAGGCGACGGCGGCAGTGTGCGTTGAGTCCACACAGAAATAAACTTCACTCTTAAATTGGGCTTTAGGAGCGTTCCAAAAAAAACACGGCTTTGACGCTTCCAACCATTTTGCGCATATTTGTTGCACCGAAAAACTTCAAAAAACATGTGTCCTTATTGTGAGTGGGCTTGCATCTCCACAAACCTGACTCATTTGACCACGCTGATATACACACTAATTCTATTCTCCATGGACATGTTTCTTTGGCTATAATCTGCCACAGTATGAAACATGCTCCACAGAGATAGTTTTAAGTTTTGTGTTTTATTTAAAGTGTTGGTTGAAGTTTATCTTTCCATGGAATCATGCAAGAAACATACAACGTCCGGAAAATTACATACTCTACCTTTTAAGAGGAATATGACTCACTGATCTTAGCAAAGAGCATCACTGGACAAGACTAATATTGTCAAATAAAAAAGTATATAGCTTATTACTCAAGTCAAAACATTGTAACTTCAGCTTAACTTTATTTAGTGATGACATTTTTCCCGCTCTCAAACCAACATGTGCTTGTTATAAAAGGTTCACACGTTGCCATTACATAGACCAGAACTTTCTTTGTATTTCTTTGAGCTGGTTTTGGTTTGGAGGAGGTCAAGCAGTGCCTCTCAGAATGCATACGTTTTTGACTACTCATGAATGCCTGGTGTGTCTGTGTGTGTGTGTGTGTGTGTGCCCTGTGTGTGTGTGTAAATACTATGTACAGAATGCCTTCGGATGTGAATGCCTTTGTAAAATAGCGTGCCTGAATTATTATTTTTTTAATTTTGAATCATTTCATTCCAATACGACGACATGTGTGATGCAAAGCCAATCCTGTATGCCCTTTTGAAAAATGGTGTTTTCAAAAACCTTAATAAAACGGCTTCTACATTCTTATGCAATGTCAAAATGTGTATGTTCAGTGTTTTGTAATTTTAGTCGTTTTCAGATACATTTTCAATGACACAGCATTGTGAATTTGGGTTAGCAGAGAGAAGCAATGGTAATTTTTTTTATTTTATTATTATAACTTTTTTTTTTTTTTTTAACAACTGCACAACATTTTTTTTTTTTTTTTTTATAATTTAAACACCTTAATGTGTTCAAGTTTTTAGATGGCAACAATAGCAATATTTATCTAAGCATTCTCTGCAACATTGCTCCTGTCTGCGTATCCAAAATGTAAACACAAAAAAAAAAACAATCCAGAGTATTGTTAAAAAATATATATAATTGCAAAATACTGGACTGTTAAATTTCAATTTGGAACAATTCAATTTTCAAAATATCTCTCCTAACTATACAATATGAAACTACCATATTTGTATTCACTATTCCTTACAAGAATGTATGCGTTCTACACAAATACAATATAAAGTTATATATTTTTATTGACATATTTTAAGTTTTTGATCAGTATTTTCAAAACATGAATTTGAGAATTGACAAAATGCAGCCGAAATTTCAATAAATCTTGAATTTCATCAGACAAGAACCTAAAATGGGGTTAGGAATGTAACGCTATGGCACTGTTAGGACCTAGTATTTAAATCAATTATCTGTTTTGGCGCTGTACCTGAATTTTACGTGGGGTTTTGTTTTTTATTTTTATTAAATTTATTTTTTTTACTATTTTATTTTATTTTATTTACAATTTTTAAGGGTTTTAAAATTTTTATTTTTTGATTTTTTTTATTTATTATGATTTTAAATTTTTTGAAGCTTTTTTGTTTAACTTTTTTTTTGTTTGCAGTGGTCCAAAGTTATTCCTCAGTAATTATTCACCACAATGAGTTTATAAGGGCCTTTCACAACTTTTTCCGTCACCATAATACAACAACTAGCATGCTAACACAGACTTCCTGATTCTCCGACAATATAACGCTCTGAAATTAGAACCAGACAGTACACAGAGGAATTACTTTAACCTCAAAAGCTGTTTATACTATAATTTATGATAACTTCAAATCCCATTCTGTAACTTCTAGCAATAACAATTAAGAATATTTTCAGACATATCTGTTTTATTTTTAATTTTTTTGGCTCTTTTTCCAAGTGCACAAAATTCAGCATATGTCTTAAATGTATACAATTTAATACAATACATTTTTTAAAAAAAATATATACTCTATACATTTTTTTGAGCCTGGAATAATTTCTGGTTGGTTTTAAACTTCTGTATGAATCAATTATTGTTATTTTTTTTTTTTCCATAAATTTTGATGCTGGGTCTGAGTGGTGCCTAGTGTGTGAAACTCCAAAATCAACATTTCAAATACAACATTTCAAACTAACTGCAAATTATTCTCAAATTTAAATTCTGAAAATTAATTTAATCATTGTCAATCCAGATGTTTCTCAATGTCCATCTACAAACTCTCCTGTTGTCCGACCTCTGTTTATAAGGGAAATTCAAAATGGCCGCTTCACACTATGTACATGTCTTAACTTGTTTTGATTTGAAATAGGCAGAAAGCATTATTTTTCCCTTTATTTTTTATAAATTTTAATGGTTTTGGAATGGTGTGCGGTCTGTCTCCTCCTGTATGCAACATTCTGGGTTTGTTTTTATTATGATTGCAAAAATGAATCATCGAACCACCAATTAAAATATTTCATTTTTACAGAATAAACTGAATTTGAATTTCATTCTTTATTCTTCAAAGGGTCCCTGCTGTTAAGATCGTCTCCACTGTGCAACCAGCAGGGGTGGTGTCAGACATCTTTGGTTGGAGGATGCTTAGAATCACATATTGTGCTTGAATCTGCAGTATAGTTCAAATGTACAACACTCTTGGATCATGATGTTACTATTTCCACATTTTAAATCGCAATATTCATTTAAAACCACTTAATTAAAGTAGTAGTCCACAGTCTACTGCTTCAGAAAGATGCGATGCCCAGTGGGAGCTGACGTCGCTGTAAACATCATCACAAACAGAGTCGGTAGGAGTGTAACGATATCCAAGTCTCACGATACGATATTGTCACAGTATGAACCTCACGATATTTATGATATTTATTGCAATATCATGGGAAAACTCACAATGTGGAGGCTCACAATTAGAGATGTAACAATATCCAAATCTCTCGATACAATATTTTCACGATATACATCTCACGGTACGATATTTATTGCGATATTTTGTGGACCAAACTGTTAATATTCTACTTATTCCACTTAAAATTAATTGGCAAGACTTAATCCATAGAGCTAAGACTTAAAAGTGCTTAGAACTGTTATTTCTTCATGTAGTCTGCACTGAAATGGAGCAAAGGATCATGGTC